CCCTCTGGTGGATTCAAACTGCATACCTCTAGGATTGCAGGATAGCTTCTTCCCACTAGGCCACCAGAATTCCTATGTATTAGAATTTTGTAAATAAACTAATGAAAAGAAAAAAGTCAACTTGGGGAGGGGGAAGAGAGGGAGAGGGGGTAAAATGTGCAACAATGAATGAATGAAAATATAACTTTTGTCTAAACTTTTGTTAAAATGACAAAATTAAAAAACTAAAAAATATCATATGCAAGTAAACTTCTTGCTGAAGATTGTTAGAAAATGACTGAACAGTACAGCAACAGGCAGCTGTCAGAAATTTTAGCTGGATTTAGAAGAGGATGTGACATGAAGGGTATCATTGCTGATGTTAGATGGATTTTGGCTGAAAGCAGAAAATTCCAGAAAAATATTTATTTGTGTTTTATTGATCTTGCAAAGGCATTTTATTATGTAGATTATAACAAACTATGGCTAACATTGAGAAAGATGGGATTCTCAACACACTTAATTGAGCTCATATAAAATCTATACACAGATCAAGAAACAGTCACCCGAACAGATCAAGGGAACACTGTAGGGTTTAAAATCAGGAAATCATCGTTGTATCTTTATTCCATACATATTTAATATGTATGCTGAGCAAATAATTTGAGAAGTTGGACTATATGAAGAATGTGTTATTTGGATTGAAGGAAGACTCATGGACACCCTACATTATGCAGATAATACAACTTTGCATGCAGAAAGTGAAGACTTGAAGCACTTATTGCAGAGGATCAAAGTCTACAGTCTTCAATATGGGTTTGTTTTTTTTTTAGCACAAGGAAAACAAAAATTCCCACATTAGACCAATAGGGAAATAACATCATGATAGGTGGAAAAAAAGATTCCTTCTACTAGGCTGCACAATCAATACCCTTGGTAGCAGGAGTGAAGAAATTAAAAGAAGTGTTCTACTGGGGAAATTTGTCGAAGATCTCTCCAAAGTGCTACAGATCCAGAATGTCAATTTAAAGACTAAAATGTGAACCGGATCCTGTCTTAGGGGGAAAAAAAAAGACTAAGATGTGCCCGATCTAAACCATATTTTAAACAATTATTTCTATGCATTTGAAAGTTGGAAGATGCACTAAGAAGACCGAAGAAAAATCAATGCTTTGAACTGTGGTGGTGTTGAAAAATATAGAATAGCCCATGGACTTTTGAAAGAACAAGCAAATCTGTCTCAAATGAAGTGTAACCAGAGTGCTCCTTAGAAGCAAAGTTGGTGAAATGCCATCTCACTTAATTTGGACATATATTCAGGAGGAACCAATCCTAGGAGAGAGACATCATGTTGACCCTCAATGAGATAGATTGACGTCATGACTACCAGAATGGATTAGAGCTTGACCCATATGGTGCAAGGAGTTGCGTTGTAATCCCGAAGGCAAGCGGGTTCGCGGCATAAGGATGAGCAATCTCCTCTCATACGATTAATTGCCTCTGAAAACCCTCTGGAGGGTCACCTATGGGTGGTTCTGACTCTACGATACACAGCAATAACAGAGATGATGCAAGGTAGGGCAAAAGTTAGATCTATTTTTCGTAAAGTTGCTATGAGTCACAGTCAACTTGAAGGCTCCTAACAATAAACAACTACTACTCGTCTCTAACTAATCACAGTTCAAAAGCATGAATTCTCCTGTCGTCCGCTCTCAGATGCATAGCAAGTGTCTGAAAAGACCACGGCCTGAATCAGGCCATTACAAGGTGTGCAGATGACATAACCTTGCTACCTTAAAGTGAAGAAACATTTGCTGCAGTCAAGAAAACTAAAATTCTCACCATGGACCAACAGACAACATCATCATGATAGATGTAGAAAAAATTGAGACTGTCAGCAACTTCATCTTACTTGGTTCCACAGTCAGTACACTTGGTACCAGCAGTCAAGTGATCAGATGTATTGTACTAGATAAATCTGCAGTCAAATTATTGAGGAGCAAGGTTTGTTTGAAGGCTAAGATGCGCCTGATTCAGAATGAATGAATGCTTTCAAGAACAGGAAGCTAACAACTGCCACACGCTACTTTTCGCCCCCCATTCCAAGAGTTTCGGATGCAGGAGACATACCCAAACCTCACCCCCTACACCCACGTATTGAATCTGCCGCTACAGAACGCGGCATAGCCCGCGGCCCCAATCGGAATGCGATTTCGTCTCGTCTGACCATTCCGAAAAAGCTTATGTTCAAGCCTGGCCTCTGAAATGGACCAATCGGCTGTTGACGCTGCTTGCCACGCCCCACAGTTGAAACTGCCGCTACTGGAAGCGAAGTTATGCTTGGCGGAGCGCCTTGCATCTGACCAATTAGAGTCGCCGACTGGAGACGAGAGGGGCGGGGTGATCCCAAAGTTGCCGCGGCGGCTGGTGCGGCTGCGTGAATGGGAACTTCCGGGTGGTGAGTGCGAGAATTGCGGGGCTGGGGTCAGAGGAGAGGGTTCGACTGCCTGTCTTTCTCGCGCACACCGGACATTCAGAGGCCGTTGTAGAATCCCACTTTCTCGGGGTTCTTGCCTCTGCGTCCTCCAGCGCTTCCTTTTTTAAATTTTCTTACTCCAATTTTCTCTTTTGAACGCCACTTTCCGTTACATAGGTGCATCTTTTAATATTCTACACGCAGCTGTTCCCTTTAACTCCTTGCAAAATAGAGGCTCCAAACCATTAAGAATATGGTTCAACGGTCCAACGTCGCACGGTGGTTAAGAGAAGGTTCGGGGTCTCCTAGGCTTCTCTCGTGTTGCCATCTCCACTCAATCCCTTCTTTGCGAGGCCTGTGCATGTTAGGCGATCAGGTTGATGTCTCAGGCTTTGCAGCAAACCCCGCCCTGAGAAGAGGCTTGTAGATTGGGAGGTCTGGGTACCAAATTTCTGAGAGTAAGGTGCCTGAATGCACACGGTATTAAAAAGGCTCGACGCTTTAGTGGCAGGCTGCGGAATTCCCTTTCTGAGTTTGCATCCCTGGGTGGCTGCGGGATTGGGAGGAGGAGGAGGAGACTTTCCAAATTACTCCTCCCCACACTGCCAGACCAATCAGATTTGAGCTTTTAATTCTGATTTTGCGCCCTCAGTGATTTGAGACAGATTGAGTTTCGGTCTTTTCATGGGACCAAGAAGGAGGGGAATGTCCTTAAGTGCTTGATTTCTATTGGATTCAGGGATTATAGTGCTTTACATGTGCATTTGTTTTCTACAGATAGCTGTTGTCAAGTTAACGCATGGTGATCTTATGTACAATAGAACAAAAGGTTGGTTGATCAGGTTCATCTTCACAATTGCAGGACGAGTGTGTTGTTGGGCCATTGTGCCAGTTCGTCCGTCCCAGGGTCTCCCTCTCCTTGTCTGCTCTCTGCTTCACTAAGCGTGATATCATTTAGCAATTGGATACTCCAGATGATGTAGCCAAAGGTTGCAAGTTGAGTAATGAACGTTGTGATCCATAAGGTTTTCAGTAGCTAATTTTTAGAAGTAGGTTCTAATCCATTCTTCCTAATCTCAGTTTAGAACCTCCTCTGAAAACTAGCCTACTATGCGTGCCCCTGCTGGTGTCTGAAATGCTGGTAGTACAGCTCCAGCATCATAGCAGCACGTGAGCAACTGCAATGTGACAAAGTGGCAGATGAGTGGTGGTTTGTGCAAATGAATTTTGTAGGTAAGGGAGTTTATTCTCTTTTAGAAGGTAAGAAGACACACCCTGAAAACTTTTAGGTATTAATGATAGGGATTTATTGAATGCTTGTTCACTGAGTGGCACAAATGGTTTAAGCATTCTACTACTAACTGGAGGGTTGGCTGTTTGAGCCCCCACAGAGATGCCTCAGAAGACAGGAGTGGTGCTCTGCTTTTGAAAGTCCCATGAAGCACTTATACTTGGCACACATGAGGGCTTCTGGTAGAGGAGTTGACAGCAAATGAAAAACAACTACAGAATGCTTACTTTATGCCAAGTACTATACTTAAGGGTCGAATTCTTAGGACAGCCTTATACAGGAAATCTTACTATCCTCTTTGGCAAATACACAAATCTTTTTTGAAGCCCAGGATACATAACTTGTCTGATGTCACACAGGTAGTATCAGTGGGAACTGAATCCAGGGCTGTGACCCAAAGAACTCCTTACTCATCTCATATTATGCTGTTTTGACATCAAGTAGAATTGGCCCTGAAATCTGGCTCTGAAGGCATCTCTCAGCCCAGGGACCAGTGAGACGCCTTGTGGGAAACTTGATGACACAATCAAGATGGTGGAGACTGAAGACCTGGTGCAGCTGCGGAGCCTCAACTTGGAGCTCCTGAGACAGCTGTGGGCGGGGCAGGATGCTGTGCGGCAGTCAGTGGCCCAGGCTGTCTCCAAGGTGGGTTTGGGAAGGGTTATCCTAACCCACAGGCCAGAATCCAGATCTCCAAGGTCTTCTCATTCACTGCCTTTTTCACTGATGGGAAACCCAAGGCCCATCCAGGGAAAAGACTGGCCTGGGTCACCGGCGAGGCTGGAGCAGGGACATAGACCAAGGCTTTCATGTGTAGTGCATGCCAGCTGACTGGGGTAGCCTGGGCCTCCACCACTCCTTATCTCCCTGAGTGATGTGGCTGCTCTCCTCCAGTTAAACCTGGACTCCAGCAGCAACCACGATGCCGAGACACCATCATTCCAGGAGATGACTGCAACAACTTCGGGAGCCTCTTCTCCTCTGGATGCCCCCCAAGATGACACTTCTGGTCTGACTTGGCCTGGCAGAGCCAGCTCCCAGACAGTTTCTGTCCTACCCCCCAAATGCCAACCCCAGAAGTCTTCGAGCCAACCGAGACCCCACTCGTCAACCTTGTTGGACACATCAGACTCAAGTAATCCAGAGCTTTCCACAGAGTTGGGTGGTCTGGGGTCCCAGGATGCCCTGCAGACTCCCAGACAGAGTGGACCATCCAAGGTAACTGGGTTAGCAGGGCACCTGTGGATGGGATCTCCCTTGAGTATTGGTTTTCCTACCTGAAAAACACGCTTATGGTCAGTGTCCCTTGTTGGTGTGAGTCTTCCGGGAGGTACTAGGAGTCATGTTTCACGCCTTAGTGCTTGGTAAGTGGTGGCCATTAGTTTCTCATAGAGTGCTTTAGGAAAGTGTGATAAGCCACATTTTACGGATGTCAAGCCTGAGCGTAGGGCCAGACTTGTTCGAGGTCACACATCCCATTGCCCTCGAGTCAGTTTTGACTTATACTGACCATATAGAACAAGGTTGAATTGCCACATAGGGCTTCCAAAGTTATAATCTTTACAGAAACAAACAGAGGGGCCAAACTCTATCTTGCAGCTTCAAGCCCTGAGTGGAACCCGTGGCAGAGTAGAAGTTAAGACACAGCACTTGTTTCCCCCCAGATTGAGACCTCTTCTGGGCCAAATCTGCTGACCTAGCTCTTGCCTCTCTTTGTCTCACTCCTCAGCCCAGAGTGACGTTCCGTAAGGAGTCTTTAGTACCTGAGCAGGGCTGGCGCCTCAGACCGTACCTGGGCTATGACTGGATTGCAGGTGTGGTTGGCCTCCATGGTCTCTTGAGAGTGGAAGGTGGGGCTCCAACTTGACTGTAAACCTTTCCAAGTATTGCTGCCAGTTTTCTTCCAAGGCACCTTTGTCTGGTGGACTTGAACTGCCAGCCTTTTGGTTAGCAGCCACGCAAGTCTATATTAATGTGTCCAGAGTCATAGTCCTGATTTCCATCCAATCTTCAGTCTTTTCTGTCTCTATAAATGACAACTCAGTCTCCCTCATAAGTCAAGCCATGACTTTGGGGGGCCCCTTTAGTCTTTCACCTTTCCCTAATCCATTAGCAAATCTGATTGGCCTTGCCGTCAAAATATTTCTCCCCACGATGCCTGCATTAGTCTCAGACCAACCTGTTTTCCAGCACATGCTAGGAAAGTACATGGCTGGTCTGACTGCATGAGTCCTTAACCCACAGCCCTTCAGAGCCCTCCTCCTCCTCTCAGCCCTCATCATTCTTCCCCACTCACCATTTCTGCCTCCTTGCCCCGCAGCCATTCCAAGCACATTGCCTTTGCACTTCCTGTTCACTCAGCCTTTGATGTCCTTCTTGGGATGTTCACATAGCATCGTCCCTTCATCAGATCTCTACTCCGGTGTCACTGGCTTCAAGAAGCCTTCTGTGGCCACCACTGTCCTGCCACGCTTGGTGTTCTCCTCTCAAACTTTATAGCAGGCGTCACTGCTGATGTTGTATCAAAGATGTCTTTGACCCTGAGTTTATCTGCCCCACCATATTAAAACTCCATCTAGGCTTCATGAGAACTTGATCCAATTTACTCATGTCTTCCTAACACATAAACCACTCAGGCACATAGTGAAAAAAAAATCCCTACAAAACCAAACAAAAATCAGACCTGCTGTGGAATTGGTTCCAAACTCATAGCCACCGTGTAAGCTAGAGTAGAAACGCCCATAGACTTGCCAAGCTGTAAGTCTTTCCAGAAAGATACTGCCACATCTTTCTCCCACAGCATCCACTGCTTAACCCACTATGCCACCAGGGCTTCTTAGGGCTTTGTAAATGTTTCGAGTGGATGATTGAGTCCTGTAAGTGGAGGGCCCTCTCTAGGTCAGTGTGAGGTGCAGTGGGGGCCCACAGCAGGAAGGTTGGGGTGCTGAGTGGCTTAAGCATTGACCAGTGACCACGTCACAGCCCTTCACCTGCCTTTCAGCTCCCCCTTGTTCTGTCCCACCAGGCTCTCTGGACAGCACCTCCCCCATCACCAGCAAGTCCGAAGGCTTTTTCTTGACACTGCAGGAGTTCCGGAAGGCCCACGAGAAGGAGTGCATTTCCAGGGACTCTGAGTGAGCAGGGTGGCTGGGGGGGGGCCAGGGCGCCTTGCAGCCTCCCTGCCCTGGTCTGCTCACCCCTTCACTCTCGCAGGTCCAGGTTTCTCAGCTTTTGTGAGAGCAGCAACGTGGATGAGGACCACGAATGTGAGTGTCTACATGCACATGTATGTCGGTGTATGATTTTAAGCACATGTGTGTATGCCCAGGTAGATGACTAAGTATGAGTGTGCGTTGTGTTTGTACACGTGACATTGTGTGTGTGTTGTTACAGTCACTGTTTTCACAGGTGAGCATATGTATATGAGTGTGCTCTGAGTGCACAAGTATGTGTGTCTGGTGGAGGATCATGAGTCCAGTGGGGCTGGTGGGACCTGTGCGGTCAGGGCAGGAAGGGCCTGGGGACCTGAGGTCCGTGGGCCAGAGTGTGGCTTTCCCTGGGCCTCACAGGTGTGTACTGTTACCGGGTCAACCAGCGCCTGTTTCTGGTACCTGCGGATCCTGGCATCACTTGCCGCCTGTGCAAGACACCCCGTGACCAGCGGGGCCTGGAGACCCTGGCAGAGCCAGCGCAGGTTAGGTGAGTAGCCAGGGCCGGCAGGACACTTGAGGCCATCCATGGGTAAAGCAGCACCTGAGTGCGTGGGGAGGCGACACCCTACAGCAGCCAGGTTTTGAAACTCACTGTATCCCCTACACAGAGTCAGCATCCCGTTGTCGGTCCTCGAGCCCCCACATCGTTACCGCATCCACCGGCGCAAGAGCTTTGATGCCTCTGACACGCTGGCCCTGCCCCGGGTGAGCAGCAAAAGTGGGAGGTGGGGGTTGGAGTGTGCTATCCCCATCAATCCCAGGCCACACACTGAGTTCTGAGGTCCAGAGAGGGCCAAGGTCTCCCCCAAGGCTACACAGTGAGGCTGAGCTGGAGGAAGGCAGGAACCCATGTTTCTGAGTCTCAGTTGGGGTAATGGGGCTCCCCATACCCATGGCCTCCAGGATGAGTGTCTGCCTCTGTTGACATAATGGGAATGTGTCCATTTATTGAGCTCTTCTGTATGCCACACACATTGTCAGGATTATGTCATTGAGGCTTCCATCAACCAAGGAGGCAGGTACTGCTGTCATCCCCATTTTACAGAAGAGAAACCAAGGCAGGATTGTGAGCTAGGTAGCCGAGGCAAGAGCTGCGACTTGAATCTGAGTCTATCTTTCTGAACATCTCCCTACACATTGCCCTTCTCTGTGTCCCCTGGGTAAGAGGGAGCCCCGAGTGCCCATTTGCCCCTGACTGTGGCCGCTAAGTTAGGAAGAAGAGAAGGATGCAGAGGAAAATCTGTTTGTTCTTCTAAAAGTGGGTGACCCAACATTGTGCTCATAGGGTGTCAGGGCAAAGTGGACAGTTAGGGAAGTCAGGCATGTGGGTCAGAGCCTGGCATGAAGTAAGCAGCCAGTTCTTGTCACTTTCTGTTTAGCTTGGATCTGGGAACATCAGGGATGGGAAGCTGGCAGGGCCCAATGAGCAGGGGTAACCCAGTGGGTGGACACAGGTGGGGAGTGACCTATTGGGGAGCTCAGTCTGAAGGAGAAAGCAGCCCTTCCATGAGACAGCTGGGGTTCTGAGAAGGGAAGGTGGTTTTGAGTCAGAGTGTCACTCTAACCTGATGATGGGAACTCCATGCTGATGGAGGAGTGGACCCTGCCAGCGGGGTGTCATGGCCTCTGTCCTGCCTCAGGAGTGCTTAACTCCTTGTTCTCCACAGCACTGCCTGGTGGGCTGGGACATCATCCCTCCCAAGCCAGAGAAAAGCTCAGCATCCAGGAACCTGGATCTTTGGTCTTCTGTGTCCTCGAAGCCCCAGCACCGCTCACTGTCTTCCCCCAACTCTTCTCACCTGGTAGAGTCCTAGTCCTGGATTTCTTAGCGAGGGACAGATTTCTTGTAGCCTCTTGGGGACAGGGGAAGTTGAGGAGTCCAGGGCCTTCCTGGCCCCCTATCAGGACATCCAGTCTATTCCACCAGTCCTTCTTGCCCCACTTACCTTACCCTACCGCAGGAAGGTGACCCTGACTCAGATCTAGGAGGGATAATGAAATGAGGCTGGAACTGGGGTGACCTCTAACTTTGACCATCCAGGCACTACCAACACAGTTTTCACCTCCTACCCCGATCTGGTTGGAACCTCAAGTCGTCCAGCCCCATGCCTGCAGCAGAAGCCCTGAGGTCTGACCACATGGACGAGGACAACACCTCTGCCATTCCTCTTGTTTCTTCCCTCGGGCCAAGGGGAGCCCATGAAGAAGCTCTTGCCTAGGTTTGGTTGGAAATGGCGTCAGGCCACATGTCTGGCAGGGTGGGTGGGCAGAGGAGAGAGAGCGAGAGTGAGAGAAGGAGAGTCTGTGTGTCTATGTGTCTGAAGTAGAGCATGTGGTATGTAAGGGGACCCTGTGATATATCTTTATAAATAAAACTCAGAGCTTTGTGTGTGTCCGTGTCTGCCCTCAAGTAGGGCATGTGGTATGTAAGGGAATCCTGTAATATATCTTTGTAAATAAAACTCAGAGCTCTCTGCAGCTCCATCTTCTTTCAAGTTTTGCCCTGCTTTTGACCATATTCTCAGTCTACTTTTTCAGGCCACCTTCCCTTGCTGTCTTAGTTACCTAGCATTGCCTTTAACAGAAATACCACCGTGGGTGGTTTTAGTGAACAGAAATGTATTCTCTCACAGATAGGAGACTAGATGTCTGAAGTCAAGATGCCCGCTCTCAGGGAGGGCTTTCTCTGTTGGCTCTGGAGGGAAAGTTACTGTTGATTGATCTCCATGTGGCTTGACACCTTCACCTCTGTTGATCTGCTTGGCTTCCATCTCAAAAGTGATCAGGTAAAGAGACTGCTTTGAGATGGTCTCATTAACATAACAAACCCTGTTTCCAGGTAGGATTACACAAGTATAACCCACCTGTTCACTTACTTATTGCCTGAAAGTCAACTCAGAGCTGGCTCTCTGTTGGGTTTCTGAGGCTGTAAATCACAGAGGAGGAGATTTCCCGTCTTTTCCCCTCAGAGTTGCTGACAGATTCAAATCTCCAAGAAGCTCACCTTTGGGTTAGCAGCTCCCTACTTACTGCATCAGCAGAGCCTGTAGTGTTTCCAGTGCTTTAACCTTTATGGGAACACACCGCTACGTCTTTCTCCTATGGAGAATGGCTGGTGGGTTCAAATTGCCCATGTTCTAATTAACAACCTAATGCTTCACCCCTGTGCCAGCAAGGCTCATTTTCACAAGTATAGGGCTTAGGAGAGACAACATATATTTTAGGGGACAGACACTTGGAGAGCTCTTGCTGACCACCCTGGTGTGGGAAGTGGATCCAGGATGTTAAGCACGGACAGCTCCTTATAGCTTCCCAGCTCTTGAGTAGGTGACTTTACCAAGGTGAGCATGGGTGGAAATGAGGATTTTTGAGACAGGCATACCTTGAAAATATGACAATTTTTTTACCTCCTTCAGTTACCTGAGTCAGGAGAAGCCTCTTTCTTCACATCTGGCCCACAGACCTAGGACTTGCCAGTGTCTACAAATGCATGAGCCATTTCCTTGAGAGAAAGCAATCTTTCTCTCATTATACATAGGTATCGGTCAGTCATTACTGTCAAGTTGGAACACACTTCTAGCTGATCCTCCAGTGGATTTTCAGAGGCCGTAAATCACATGGGAGGAGATGGCCCACTTTTTCTCATGGAGTTGCTTTTGAATTTGAACTGCTGGAAAAGAGGGACCTTTGGGTCACAGCTGAGCTCTTTATGAACTAAGTCACCAGAAACGGATGTGTGTATTTATATAATAGAGAAACTGTGGTGACCTAGAAGCTGCACTGTAATCCCAAAGGTACATGGCTTGAATTCACCAGCTGTGAAGGGTGGGAAATCTCCTTCCACGTGGTTTACAGTCTGAAAACTTGCTGGAGGGTCAGCTGTGAACTGATTCCAATATCAGTGACACACAACTGTATATATCTATATCTATATATCTATATCTATATCTATATCTATATCTATATCTATATATCTCCATAATTAACACTTGTGGTCCCAGCAGTCAGGAAATACAGAGATACATTGCACTGGGAAAATCTGCAGTTAGGGACCTCTCAAAATTATTGAGGAAGAATGATGTCAGTTTGAAGACTAAGGTGTGTCTGACTCAAGCCATGATCTTTGCAATTACTTGCTATGCATCTGAAAGACAGTGAATAAGGATGACAGAAAAAGAATTGATGTCTTTGAGCTGTGGTCTTGGAGAAGAGCACTGAACATAATTGACGGCCAAGAGAACAAACATGTCTTGGAGAGGGTGCAGTGGAGTGCTTTTTGGAGGCAAGAATGATCAGGCTTTGCCTCACATACTTGGGGCATATTGCTAGGAGGGGCTAGTCCTTGGAGAAGGACATGATGCTGGAAAAGGTGGAGACTTGGTGAAGGAGCGGAAGATCTTCAACCAGGTGGATTGACTTGGAAACTGCTACAGTGGGCTCTTTTGTGTCAGGAAGTGTGAAGATGACACAGGTTAGAACAGGGTTCAGGTCATTTGTTCATAGGGTCGCTATGAGTTGTACACAACTCAACGGCATCTAACAACAACTATATATGTATGTGTTATTGTTAGGTGCTGTTGAGTTGCCTGCAACTGATAGTGACAACAGCTCTGAAACCTGCTCTATCCTGAGCCAACTTTATTGTCTCTGATACACTTATGCCCATTACCCCTGTCACAGAGTCAATCCATCTCATTCAGAGTCTTCCTCTCTCTTTATTTTCAATAATTTTAATGAGCATTTACAGAGATTTTGGATTTCCATTTATTCATTGCTGCACTTCTCTCCCCGCCCAGCCCTCGTCCCCCCGCCCCTCCCCCCA